GCAGGTCCTGTACCAGTCGCATAGGTTTGGGGGAGCTGGGCTGGTTCTGGTTGGAGGTGCCAGGTGAGTGACTCATGAGAGACACTTCCTCCGCAGGGCTTCCGTGATTCTCATTGGCCATTTCTCAGCAACCGCACTAGAAAAAAATACACAGAAAATCCACGTTACAGCAGGAAAGATCCCAGATCCACTTGGCCCACTCAGCTGTGGCACTACAAGTCCATTCTGACAATAAAACAGGGTTTGCACTAGTACACACAAAAGAGCACCTAACACCCGAAAACCACCTGTTATCCTAGATTCAACCAGATATGAGGAATGCTGAGCTTTAAATGGTGTCAAGCAGGGAGTTCTTAAGGCCAGCATTCAAAATACTCACTTTTCAGCTAGATCTCCTCTAAGAGTGCAGCGCCTGGTCCCATACATCAGGACTGAGAGCATAAAAAATAAAATACACTCCTCTGTGAACATGTACCACCTTCTGCCACGCTAATGCTACCAGCCATATATGATCTGTTATCCTCAGAGACAGTTTAAATCAACATTTACACACACGTAACTGCACATAATTTAAACAAAAGGCTTTTATTAAAAAACTTCTGCTATATAAAATAGCCCTAGTGCTTCACTAATAACAGCCTTCTGTGGTTCAGAGAACCGCAGGCTAGGAGCCAGGCACTCCTGAATGATTTTCCTCAGTGTGTCCCAGGCCCAGGACCAGCCGTAAGGCCTCAGCCAGGCTGTTTTAGCCTTTGGTACTTTTTCATCTTCATAACAGCTACACAAAAAAGGGTCTGTTGAAACAATAAAGCTCATCTTAATCATAATTAAATGTTGCCAGCTGGAGAGAAACAGCCAGGCTTTTCCTCTCTTAGTCACCATTCTTCCCCCCAGGGAAGTTTCTGAAACAGCACTGCAGATTGCTCCCCTCCGGCAGCCCTAAATACAGTAGCGATGAACTGGGGGGAAACAAGGCCCTTTAAATAATTACTGTGCACCTCAGTTACTTAACTCTATTCAGGCCTTTGGAGACACCCTACACAACACCAAAGCTGGGGCTATACAGAAGTGTGTTTTTTAACTGAGCACCCCAGTACCCCCACCAGTAGGCTCCCACTGCTTAAACGAAAACTCTGGTTTACTTTGCATGCCCAGTTATTTTGGATGTATTCACCTTTGCTGTCCATAAAAACCATGCTGGCTATTTCAGAAGAGCAGAATGGTAGGAGCTGACAACGATCAAGAATTAGCAGGCACTAGCTAAGCGGTCTATAGTACCGGTTGTGGAATCAGTGTGATGCAGGCCCGGGCTGAAGAACACCTGACCCTTCCAACATCTCGGAAGACGTTTCCGTTCTTCCAGCAAGGGTAAGCATGGGAAAGTGTGGGACACTGCAGAAACCTAGAGTTTTGGTCTCTGCTCAGAACTAGGCAGAGAACAATAACCAAGCCCACAGGCAAAAGCGTCTGCTACAGAGCGCACCAATGCAATCAGACATTTAATGGCCTCATCAGGTGAGTGTTGCACAACATCTGTTCACTCACGCTTCCTCCTGAACTCCAACCCTGCCGTGCCCTCTACAGCCACTCCACATCAGCTAGCTGCCAGAAGGCAGAAGGTTAGCCCAGCCATCTCAGAGAGACACGGCAGGAGCTCAAACTCACGTGGGGGCCATCAGTGCAAGGAAGCCCACAGGAGCCCGAGGGGCCCTAGGGCTGCAAGGCACGAGCCTCACCGGGCAGTACTGCCGGTGCAGTAACTTCGGAAGGATGTGTTTAGCCCCTCCTCCTTAAACATAAAAACATGCAGTTGCTGATGTGTCCTGCACATTACACAGACAACACAGGTTATAGTGAACTGGTATCTACTGATGGGGCCAGACCTCCTGAAGGGAGCCAAGGATGTATTTCAAGAAGTTACAGATAGCGCTGGGTATCAAGATCCTCCTAGACTGGACAGCGTGCACTGGCTGCAGCAACTTGCCAGTGTTTTTCACCACCGATCGCTCAAAACAGCTGTCAAACACTGGGTTTGCCTTCTCCCATTTATGGATAAACTAGAATGGTGGAAGTAGACAAGAAGCTTTATCACTTGATCAGTGTTGATGAGTATTAAATCCAAGTACCCTTAAGGTCTGGGAAAAGGAAAAAAGCAAACTAACAGGAATCCTAGCAGAAACAACTCTATTTTTATGGAACTAGTATTGGGACTTAAGACAGTGAAAGGGATCCAGAGTAAGCATTTTATGGTGATTACGGTATTGTCTTTATACACCATGGCAATGCATACAGTACTTCACAGACACAGTAGAACGCTGTCCCTGCCCAGAGAGCTTACAACCTAGGAGCAGCAGCACAACCAGAGAGACCACAGCAAGGTGGAAGACACAAAGCAGAGAAGTACAGCAAACAGGATCATTATTTGTTTCCATTTCACCGAGGTAGGATTTTACACAAGACAACAGCAAATGCAGACAAAGGAGAGCAGCGGCAGCCCCCTGGGACACGGCAAGGCTCTCCCTCATCCCAGAACCAGGGCTGCTTCGGGAGGCTGGAAGCCAGGCCACTGCCTCCTTCCACCAGTACTTCT